ATATTTCTTTTATAGATGTTTATGTTTGACGGGTTGGTGCCAAAGATTTCGACGGCAGCAGCCAGGAAGTGTTTGTCAATCAACGCCGAAGCAAACCAATTGAGGGTACAACAATTTAGACTTTTGACTGTTATATTTAAAATTTCTGTATAACCAATAACTACCGTGTATTATACGGGTGTTGAATTAGAAAATTTTTGTAAAAAATATTAATTTTTTTTTAACAACTAAAATAATTTAATTTTATATAAAATATTACTTTAAATTTTAATTAAATTGTCAAATTATATTTTTTAATCATAATAATTAAACACCCGTACATTAAATAAAAATGTCAACCCGTGCTGAATTTTTTTATTTATATCATATACAAATATCGGTATTATTTACTATTACATAAGTACAATATATATCTTAAATAAATAGAAATAATATGGTGATATGTATATGCATAAGTGTAGAATATGTTTATTTAATATTAAGCAAAATAGATTAATTTTTTTACTTAATTAGATGTCTAATACATCAAATGTCGTATCAGTCGTGCTTCACAATTTTTTAACTTTATATGTAATTTTAGAATTTATATAAATAATTATTTATTTTTATTACATTGACAACATACCAATTAGATTTGAAATAAATATCATTTTTAAAAGAATACATACCAATTTCTATTACTTTATAATATAATTTATAGTTTTATTTGATATAATTTAATTTAGTTTGATAAATAAATTTAAATTTATTTATAAGGATATATATTACTGTTTTGTATTTTACACACACACACACACACATATATATATATATATAGGGAATGTTTCCAATGCATCCACTTATTTAAAGTGAGGACGTAAGGCTCATTTTTAGCCACAAGATTTGGTACATATCATGTGTGGCCAAGATTTACTCTTTTTTTTATTATTTTAATTATTTAAATATTATTTTGACCTGTTGACTTCGGCGTTGACCGTTGACTTCTGACGTTGACTTTCGGCCAAATCTGTTGACTTCCGAGTTGCACCGTTGACAACTAACCTTCCAACTAGATTAGTTCTCTGTAGTTGCTAGGCTAGTTCTCTGTAGTTGCTAGATTAGTTCTCTGTAGTTGCTAGGTTAGTTCTCTGTAGTTGCTAGGTTAGTTCTCTGTAGTTGCTAGGTTAGTTGTCTTTTGTTGCTAGGTTAGTTATCTTTAGCTACTAGTTTAGTTGTGTTTTGTTGCTAGGTTAGTTGTCTGTTGTTGCTAGGTTAGTTATTTGTAGCTGTTAGGTTAGTTGAGTTTTGTTGCTAGGTTAGTTGTCTTTAGTTGCTAGGTTATTTTTTTCTTGCTGCTAGGTTAGTTGTGTTTTGTTGCTAGGTTAGTTGTGTTTTGTTGCTAGGTAGAAAAGCCGAAAAACGAAAAAGAGGCAAAAACTACAAAACAAAACAAAGTCGATCTTCGGGCTAACAGATGCCCGAAATAAATGACTATACTAATGCAACCAGAAAATCTAAACTAATGAAAGCGGAACGCTGGGTATCCAAGCTGGTCCATCCGTACAAGGGTGCGAAGGCGGAGTGGAGCAGTGTCGATCTGAAATGTATGTATATCTGGTATGGTGGCGCCAAGGCTGGCCAAGTAGTCAGCAGGTCTGTTCCCCTCACGGAAAATGTGCGTAATCCTGTGATGGACTGACCGAAGTAGATCTCTGATGCGCATAAGCGGGTGCTGAATCTGCCACGAGCCCTGGTGGCCCGAAGTCAGGAGAGTGGCGACAGCCGCAGCATCCAGCTCGATCCATATATAACTAGAGAGGTGGACAGCAATCTGAAGGCCAATCTGTAGTGCCTGAATCTCTGCGTCGTAGCTCGAGGAGGCCTGGATGGACGCGTGGAAGGCGGTGATGAGGGCGTCGCTGTGGTTCCGAATCAGGCCTCCTCCTCCGGCAACTCCAGTGTGGCGATCAAAGGAGCCATCAGTGTTCAGCTTGACCCACGGAGAGTCAGGTCGAAGCCAAACAACAGCTCTGGCCCGAGGAGGCCGAACAGGCGGTGGTGGGACCACCATGTAGCGATGCGGTGGCGTGCAGCCTGTCCAGTCTCGGGCCGTGAGCCTGCCTAATGCGGTGATGAGTGAAATGTGTCTCTCTACCTGCAAAACAATGTGAGAAAACATAAAAGTAATATTCCTATGCTTCGCACTATTCCTCTCTGTCCAGGTAAACCAAAGGATCAGACAAGGAATGAGGAAGCCCACGTGTCTAAAGTGTGTGCTCTGTGAGAAAAAACTCAGAAGCTCAAAAAAAGTATATGTGGAGGGTAGGGATATATGGGTCCAAGTGGCAAAATGCTCCCACACTCTCCTCACAATCTCACTCTCTAGAAAAAGGTGGATAAAGGTCTCGGTCTCATGGCGTCCAGTCTCTGAACAACACACACACCGAGAGGGGAAGGAGATCCCTCTCGCATGTAGCACAGTATCGATGGGTATCCGACGCAAAAGAAGGCGCCAAAGGAACACCGAAATAGTAGGCGTGAAGAGGTCACTCCAGATAGCCCCGAAGAGGAGATTAGGCCGATTCCTCAGCCTGATCTGCTCCCAAGCCGAGGTAGTAGAAAACACACCTGATGATGTAAGTCTCCACCTCATGCTATCCGAACCATCCCCCGAGATGGGTATCTGCTGGATCATATCTAATAACTGCTCGCTAAAACCCGCCCCGGAGTCCAGCTCTCTATCAAGCTTCCCCCTATCCCACGACCCGTCCGTCCAAAGGTCACGCACAAGCAGGTAGGGGGAATGAGACACCTGCCTATCTCTAGACAACGGCCTATCACCTAACCACCACTCATCCCAGAAACTAACCTCGCCATCTCCCAAAACCCAAAAAATATGATCCTGGGCGCGCCTACCGACCATAGTGAGGCGCCGCCACTGTCTGCTATCATGCGCAACCGCCGTCACCCAACAAGGGTGATTGGCGCGTCTAGAGCAGTACTTGCCGCGAAGGTACTGTGCCCAAAGCGACTTTCCTTCTCTGAAGCGCCACCACAACTTGTATGAGTAGGCAATAACAATATCCCTGAGGCGGCGGATGCCAACGCCACCCTCGGGGAGGGGGCGGCAGATAGAGTCCCAACTCACCCAGTGAGTACGTCTCCCCCTCCCATAACCGTCCTCGTAACCCCAGAAATAACGAGCCATGATCTGATCAAGCTCGTCAAGAGTAGACCTAGAGGGGTCGAGGACCATAAGCAAATGAATCGGAAGAGAGCTAAGAGTGCTCTTGATCAGCGCTAGCCGACCACCGAAAGAAAGATGTCTATGCGACCAACCAGAGATCCTGTCGCTCATCCTCTGCCTGATGCCCGCAAAGAGCGCTCTCGTGAGGTTGCCCTTATGTAAAGGGACCCCGAGGTAGGTAATGGGAAGGTCGCCACGCGCAAAGCCAGTAATGTCGTGGACCCGCCCACCTGTCCACGGTGGCAGATGAGAGGATGAAGGTGCTCTTCTGCACACTGACCAGCTGACCGGTGACCAAGCCATAGTGCTCCAGAAGGCGCATAAGCTCGACCAGTCCATCATCATCCGCCCGGGTGAAGATGATGATGTCATCCGCATAAGAGAGGTGAGAGATGGGAGGACTATAGCCACGGGTGCTATAGGTCATATGAGGAGAGTCGCGGATGAAGCCGTCAAGGCAGCAAGAGAGGTAATCCGCCGCAAGAATGAAGAGGGAAGGGGAAAGAGGGTCGCCCTGTCTAAGGCCTCTAGAGGAGGGAAAAAAATCGGTGGGGCTGCCATTAACCAGGACCGAGAACGTGCAATGCTCCACACACGCCTCCACAAAGCTGATCCAGCGCTCAGGAAATCCCATCCTAGCCAGCGCCTCCCTAAGAAACGGCCACTCAACCCTATCATACGCCTTAGCCACGTCTAGCTTCAGCGCG